TACTAAAGGTCTGAAAATGACATGGCTGGATGTCCAAATCACCAATCAATGCAAATTTCATGCTATACACTCATGTAACTTAAGCCAACAACCGGGTAAGCAAAGAACTATAACTAAGCATGCCAAATTTGCCCAACAACTTATGAAACTAAACATGGCAAAAATATGACAAAAGCTACAAGACTAAGCCTAAAAACATGCTCCAACTAGGCTAACAACCTAGGCAATTGAACTTCAGCATTACATGGTAGGTATGCTAGCATGCTGGATGTACCAACAAACCAACAAAATGAGCATAATATACTATTAAGCACAAACAACTAAGCATGGTCACATGAAGCTTAAGCTACCGGTCTTCCCTCAAGAGCAAAATGGTCCTTTTCAGGACACAAGAGAGGGGGCCTCCCCTTTGAGCTCAAGCACATCTCCACCACTGAATCCTCAAGATTTCAGTGTGAAAGGCCAAACCCATAGTCTCAAACTTGCTCAACTGGTCAACATAGGCCTTCAAGCCTAAGAGGTCAACACTCAAACAAAAAACTCTCAAAACAATCAAGAGACTAAAAACAGAACTTGTTTATATTACACCAGCTCAAAAAACCGATTTAAACAGGTCAAATCAATGCAAAATATGGGAATTAAGGTGTTAGTTTCTTACCCTTGATGACCCCATTCACAAGTGATCCCCATTGGCCCTCCTTGATGGAATCCACACCAAAACACTAAAACGTCCTTTAGACCTTCCAGTCTATAGGAGGTGAAACACTATGTGTGTGTGCATATAAAACACAACACTTTAACACACCACAGAGAAAAGAGAGATAATGTGTATCAAACCCTAACCCTAGAACTCAACCTAAACATGGCTATCTAGCTCCTAAAATATCCCAATGTGTCTAACCCTTGCAACAAGAGAGAGCCTCTCTTTATAAACTTTTGTCTTGTACAGCTTACAAGGACAGCTTTATAAGAGGAATTCCCCCCATACACGTGAACCCGTGTATGGAGGGAGCAAAAAGCAAGACAGCTGTCTTAAAATATCTGCAAAAGCAGATGCACAGTAGTCGGCCGGCCAAAAATGCCATTTTGGCAAAAAAGAGTGCCGACCGGCACTGAATAGTGCTGACCGGCAATAAATAGTGCCGGCCGGCAATATACATTGCCGGTGGCAGCAAAAACCAGCCGGTGGCCTCTAGCCACTGCCGGTGGTGTGTGGGGATGCCTCACAAGGCATTCCCTGCCCCTCCAAGGCAAAACACAAGTGTTTGGTGTGAAACCAGACACTAAACGGTTGGGTTCGGAGATCCTGAGGCAAGGCACGCGAGCCGAGACCTCCGGGAACTCCAAACGAACACAATCATGGATAATCACCAAGTGTTCAAACGGTGACGTCCAAGTCTTGAGGACGGTCAAAAATGGGGTGTCTACACATCTCTCATGCCTTGCATGCATTGTCTTGCATGCACCGAGGCTTGGTTCATCATTCTAACAATGCATTGTCTATTAAATACATTCTTTGAATACGTGCTTAGACCGCATGCTATCAAATTGATTCATATGCCATATTAGTAGCCGAGCCTAGTAATTGCATATTGCATGTGTTGCATTAGTCATATTGCATAGTTAGGATCATGTATTTTTCTAACTCTTTTATCTTTTTTGGCTTGCCTTAGAGTTCTTGGTGAACTTTTCTTTGTTTTAGAATATTG